GGAAAAAATTCCATCTTAAAAGTGGCCGTAAATAGAGGTTGTCGCTACATAGAAGTGGTCTTTCCTATCTCATCACAAACGAAAATGTATTAGTATCGCCTTCTTCTAGCCATGCCCCACGTACCAGAAAAGTGGGAAAACTTATAAATCACTTGAGTCCAAGATAGCAAAATAAGGTTTATTTTCACTCAGCAAAAAACCTTTTAATGTAAACCTAAAAAGGTTTGTTATGCGGTTTACATGTAAACCGTCTTATTTTAAAACGAGACTTGTGACAATCTGCTCTATTCTAAGCACATTATGCTATTTCAAAACCTTGGAAAAAAACCTTTTATGTAAAAACCTTAAATCGAGTTTGACTTAGGGTTTTCAAGCTTGAAAAAATCCTACAATAAAGCTAGTCTCAGGGTGAAAATAATATTAAATATAGGTAATTATAATATAAGATTTCTTTTCGCAAAGTCTTGCATGCTGTGCTAAAATCCACCTTGTCATGAAATTTTAATGGACAATGCAATTTGATCCTATATCGCTAATATGACGTTAGCTAAAACATCATTATGGACCTAAATGACAATTAAAAAAAATTTGTAATCCTTTTAGGATGAAAGGTTTTTAGTACAAACATTTTAGTGAAAATAAAAAGAAAATTCCGACACAAGGTTCATGCCTTTTGGGAGAGAATTTGAAAAAATCCTAGTTCGGACTATATTATTAAATTTCATTAAAACAATAACTTGTAGAAATAAACCGATTGCAGATTTAAAAAAATCTGGGATAAAAAGGTATATGAGATTCGTTTAAAAAAATCTCATGGAATCGAAGACAAAATATAATTTCCCCTCATTTCCAACGGCGTGTCAAATCTCTGGTAAAATAGAAATGTATATACTGCTGCAAATACATTGTAATTCACCTATTACTTGAAAATCATCTACGGCAAAAGTAAAGGTTTCCATGAGGTATGTATAGCTTTTTAAAAATTCGTATTAAATAAACATTAAATAAATTTTAAAATTAAAAAATTTAGTCGGAGAGAATAAAACGTAATTACACTCAACATCTATTAATTGATAATGAACAGTGCAAAAAAAAGGCTTTAAGACCCTATTCGTTCCTTTAAAAGAATTACTTCCCACGATATAAAAAAAAACGCTTATTTTAAAAAATTCTGAACTCTGAAAAATTCTGAAATATTTCCGAATCAAATGATGACCATCAGTAACGGCCATACCATTGATCGCGAACTACAAGTAGCTCGTGGTGACATTTTCGGTAGATAACGCTAAGTTGATTTCATATTTGCCAGAAACGTGAATTTATTGGAAATAAACCAAATGTAAGATATTTTAAAAAATAAATTGGTAATTATTTTGGTTGGTAGATCAAATAAACAAAATTGAAAGGCTTTACTTACCAAATTTTACTCTTTTTCTTAGTCTTAGTGGATATCGGGTTGGAAGTTAGTCAAAAACTTACTGCCAATTCAGAAATAATTCAGTCCTATTCAGAATAACCTGAAGTTTTAAATGAAACACCTTAGGTTGTTGAATAAATACTTCCTCTGGTTTAAAAAATATATACTTCAGGTTGATAAGTAATAACCTAAACAATGAAACTTGAAAACTAAGCCCTTGAAAATAAAAAATATCACCTCCTCACAGATGTCAGATAAAACACCTCAGATTGATACATATATACTTCTGCACGTATTTTTGAGATAAATTTTGAGGAATTCATTTGCACCCTTTGCAATCTAATTGTATATTAAAATAACTTCATTTATACTTTTGAAAAACACCTCATTTATACCTCAAAAATACCTCAATTTTTCTGTAAGTGTTACGCAGAGGGTTCAAAATGTGAGTGTGAAGCATATAAAAAGTGAATTAAAATATATCATATTTCAGGACTAAAATGAAATAATTTTTTGAAAATCATAGAATAGTAGTTTTTTTATTTGTTGTACATAAAAAATTTTTAAAGAAAAAAAATATCGAACATTTTTTATATTTCGGCATTCTTTAATGCTACGCCTAGTTGTATTCAAAGTTACACCAATCGCTAAATAATCTATTAGTGCAGAGGTCGCCAAAGTGGTCTATGTAGACCCCCAGAGGTCTATTTAACATAAGCGGGGGTTGATCTGAGCCAGGGGGTCGATCCGAACCGGAAGGGTCGACTGGTCGAAGGATTATCAGTATTTCTCAGATATGTGACAATTAGAAATAAAAGAAGAGGACTTGGAAATATATACAGGTAATCTTAAAAAATTGAGCGACGATTTTAAACTGCGTTTTGTTGATTTGGAAAACATTGACATCCCTGATTGGATTATTGTGCCATTTTCTGCTCAAATTGAAAACGTGGACATCAACCTGCAAGATGAGCTTGTTGAATTATTATGGGGATTTGAAGCAAAGACGCTTTTTAAAAATTTAACAATAAGCAAATTTTTGACAAATATAAATATAATGCAAAAATATGTAAAACTTTACGAAATAGCTCAGCCATTTATGATAGCATTTCCAAGTTCCTATATGGTTGAAGCCGGTTTCAGTCACGTAAATTCAATCTTAACTAAGAATAGAAATAGGGTAGACTATATTTGAGGGTGCCCCTTGATTCTCGCCAAGTTGTGATCGCGGTTGATCGCCAAGCTGGGCGATGTTGAAACCCAATCGTGATTCTGATTGGTTTAAATTTTAGCGTCATTTTTAAATATTCAACGGTTATAATTTAAGAGGTCCGTTAGTTCTACGTTGGATACCGGCTGGTAAGGTTACTTTTAAATCTGGTCTATAAGATCGAAGGTTTGTCGCTAGTCATAAAAAGGGATTTAAGAAAAAAATGTCACCGCTAGTCCGGTATTACAGACGCCATTTTCGATTCGCATTTTGTCGAATTTATGTGGCGATAGAGGTACACAGATTCTATTCATGATAAATTTAGACAGTATCTAACTGTTATCAGATATTTCTGTGCACCTAAATCTGAGAATATTCAAGCTTAATGAAGAAGTTAGTTTTTTTTTTCCTTTTCTTTCTGCGCCTACTCCATTAATTTTTGCTTCGATTCAAAATCCTTCTTATTGGGTTTATTAATTTTGCTTGTACGGTCAAACCCCGCTATAATGAACCTTCAAGGGACCGAAATTTGGTTCACTGTAACCGGGAGTTCACTATATCCGTTACGCAGACAATTTAACTAATGGGTCCCAAACGCCTCCCTTTTACTACACAATATTCAATTAATTACTGAAAAATATTATGTAGTAGCAAAAAATGTGTTAATTTTCATTACTCTTCGTCTTGCGTGCAAAAAAAATTTATTTTTTTTAATTTTTAGCTTATGAGCAATCTTCAACATGGAAACACTTCCTGCCTCTCAGATAATTTTTCCTTGATTTCCGTTATTCCGCTTTTTAAACCTGTCTAACCTGGCATTCGAGAACATAAAATCGCTTAACAAATTCATCGACATTTGTCCAGATACTGGAAGATTGCGGCTTCTTCGAATGGTGAACCACTTCAGTAATGCTTCTTCAACAGCCTTGTGATCTGCTTTTCTCAACTTTTATCTACCATCTAAATTTTTTTCATGAGCAGAAATTATTAATTGTCTATTTTTCCATTTGTTACAAACTGCAGATTTGACTAGTTTATATTATCTGCAAATATTAACTTGATTGCATTCATTTTCAATTTTTCTGATTATGCCCATTTTATTATCAACGGAGAATGTTTTACGTTTACTGGTCGCCATAGTTGAATTTGAGACACTTGTTTGCAGACTTTTTTTTAACTGAACTGAGAGCAAAAAAGAGTTGAAATGAGGGCCTTATCAACACATATTAATGCTCAACCCTTTGACCAATAATGAATAATTACTCATTCCCTCTGACAGAAAATGCATATTGACCCCACTGACACCGTACAGGTCCGCCTGGGTTGGAAACATCTGTTTGGTTTGTTTAGGGATTGGAAAGTGAGATAAAAGAAGCAAACAAGAAATAATGCTTATCGCTATATTCCCCTCTGTAGATGGTTTTAAACATTGGTATATGTATTTATTTTGAAGTAGAAATTTCAAAATTATTACCAAAAAATAAAGAAAAAAATCAGTCGAAGACAGAAAAAAGGTCACTACATCCAACTTCCTCATTTTTTTGGTTCACTATATCCACAAGAAATAACATTATACGTGTATAGCAAGGCACGGGACCGAACATTTCGTTCACTATATCCGGGAGTTTACTATAAACCGTGTTCACTATAGCGGGGTTTGACTGTATTGGGTTCATTGCAAGCTTTATCCGATGTTTTGTTGAAATTTTCCAATGTTTTATTGAAATATCATTATGTTTTGGCCGCAGTTCCTGTTACCACGGTGTTCCGCGCAAACAGGAATCAAACATAAGTCGCCAATTTCGCCAAAGGGCACCCTCAAGTATATTTTTCCCCAGAAATAAATTAAATGTGGAGTTTCGAGGGGATTTAAGATTAAAATTGTCCAATTTTGAACCCAATATAACGAACCTTGCAAAAAAAAAGAAAAAAAAAGAGCACCAGGCACACCTATGTCATTGATTAAGAAGCAATAAGTCCGTAGTTACTTTACTTATTATTTCTACTTACTTATAATTACTTATTATTTCATAAATATTAAGGTATTTATATTTCAACATTAATATATTTTTCATAAAACTATTGTTACACTATGTACTATTACTTTAATAAATTTTCAGAATCATAAAATAAATGTACAAACACAGTATCTAATAGAGTTTTATTTTAATTAACAGAAAATTACTTTTATGGGGGTCGATGGAGAATTCGAAAAATTATGTAGGGGTCGATGATTAAAAAAGTTTGGCAACCCCTGTAAGGAACCCTCTGGAATTTTGGTGCTATTAGAAAGATAGTATTCTCTTTAGCTAAGCGCCATCTATATATCAATTTTATATAAACTTGACCTTTTAATAAAATGAGTGGCAATGATTTTTAATTCTCCATTTTTATTATTTTATTTGGAAAACCGACGTCTGATAGTAGCCATCTTTCTTCATGTTGTGGTGAATATTAGCAAACTTACTGATTTTTTTAAAATATACACTTTATTAATTGCAAAGATGTCTAGACGTTCTCAGCTATTTGTGGGCCGATTACCTTTGGATTCCCGGGAGCGTGAAATAGAATCTATCTTCGATAGATATGGTAGTTTAGTGCGATGCAATTTAAAGTATGGTAAGTATTTTACTCCAAATATTTTAGATGTGAATAATTTGTAATTAAAATAACCATAGGTACTTGTTATTAAGTCCAATTAAGCTTTTATAGCATAAATTTGTTTATATATCATGCATTAAAAATACTATTTCTTTAAAGAATTAAAAATTATCTTATAAAGGGATTAAAATATCTATAGCTGTAAAATTGGGTAGAGGTGTACGTGTGGTTGGTACTCAAAAGCTGCTCGTTTATTAATTTAGGAGTCTATTAACGCTAACCTAATCTTAAAGAAGTCCATACTTTTACGAATCATATAATTTTACAATAATTTACGAATAAAATAAATTTTTCTATCATTTTTTTTTTCAGTAAAATAGTAATCGGTATCAATTGGTTTATGTTCCTTCATGCCAATATTTATTCAAAATTTACTTTAGAGTTCATGAGTTCTCTCATCAAGTATTTTCAAGTGGGATTTCCATAATAACCTATTTCCAGGGATCTGCTGCGCCAACTACAATCACCAAGGTGCCAACTGAATTTTAAACATGCAATTTAAAACAAAAAACATGTAGAGATTTCCCTGGGGGTGGCTACGAGTTATACAATTTGAGTTGGTCCCTTTCTGTGATGTTTTTTTTAAGTTTCTCACGGGCTGCAGCCCGAAAGTTGCTAAGGCTTGGCGGTTATTCTGCCACAGATCAGATGCGGAAATCTTCCCATAACCTCTCTTTGTCTGTCCAACAAATTGTTTAGTCTCGTTTGTCTTATTTTAGAACTTCTTAAATTTCAGGTTTCTGCTGTTTATTGATCAAAATATTCATTACCACTTTTAATCAATATTTTAAATTTTTTTAAACCTTTCTCTCATTTTCCATTTAAAGCTTGTAAAATAATTGTGATTAAATATCAATGTTTGCTCTAATTATATTACCGAAGAATCAAAATGCACGATTTTTGTAATGCGTAAATACGAATCAAGTTACAACAAAAATAATAGGTTGGGATGGATGTGTGTCTGTTCTTGGGACTAAAGAAATATGCGCGTGTTTTGAATTGCAAAAGGGACCGAGATAAATAAAAATGTATAGATCTCGTTTTTTTTCTTCTCTCTCTTCGAAAAGGTGTATTTTGCCAAGATGTGTAATTACTTTTTAAGTTACATAGAAAATTTGAAACAGAATCGAATTTCACAAGTTGTAATATTTTGCTAAAGTATCAGCATTTTCTAAATCACAAGTACAAATGCAGCAATAACGGGAAAGAAGAAAACAAGTTCAAAAAATCTCTTATATTTATGTTAAAATTGGTACAGATAGAGCATGTAAAAACCTAATTATTTTAATGCTCGATTCAAAACTCACCTCCCCTCAAATTATAGTATTAAAAATATTATTTTTTTTTTAATAACTTGGAAAAGCATAGTTATAACTACCAAAAAATTTATCAAAATCCCTTTATATTTACAATGAAATTGGTGTAAATAATGAGCGTAAAAAATTTATGTATTTAAATTCAGGATTCGAAATTTAACCCATAATAGCGTATGAAAAACCGAGGTCATCCGAGTTCAAAACCCAGCAATGGTTGGTCGATAACTAATTCTGTCTCGGACTTGCACCAACCACAGTGCTGTTATGAATATCCTCAAGTAGTAGACGGATCATGGGTTGGAGACCTCTTGCTATCGGGCTTACTGTTCTTGTAGTCTTTCTCTCCATGTAAGGCAAATGTCGGTTAGTGCCATCAAAAGTTCTCCACGAAATCCAACCAAAGGCGAATTTCTCCCAATACTTGATCCAGGTGTTCCCTTGTCTTCTGAATTGGGTTCAAAATTACAAGCCTATGTAGATGTACGTTAGTAGTCGTAAACCCAAAAATTGAGTAGGCTGTTCAACGACTGTTATAAAATGAAATAAAATCAGTTTAGAAAATGTGTATGCAAATAACAGATCATTATTAAAATTGCTGTTTGATGATAAGTTTGACTTAGGATTTTAATAATTGTTTTCAGGTACTGGCATGGCCTATGCTTTTGTAGATTATGAAGACAAACGTGATGCAGAGGTACATATAAAGAGATTTTTAGTTGTATTTGTTTATAGTTTTAACCTTTTAAGTTCGTTTTTTTGCATACATGTTGTCATTTCATTTTTACTTTCAATTGATGCTTAAACATTGATAGTAGATTATTTTTAATCTGATTATCAGCATGTGTATTAAAAATCATGTGCTATTGGTTTCTATGATAAAGCTTTAAAGTGATTATAGGAGAGATGGGTAAGATCAAGTAAGTATTCAGAATTTTTAGTTTTTCTCAACTAATAAGAATTTTTTCGGTTAATCAGCTAGAGAGAAAAAAGGATGGTTGAATACTTTAGTACAGGCTTCAAAATCCAATTTTTTTTTTTTTTTGAAATGGAAAAATGAAATAAGAATTTAACTTACTAAAAATTTAAATTAGTGTGCTTCTTTACTGTCTAGTTTTTTCTATAAATTAAAGTTTCTAAAAATTTTATTAATTTGAGCTTTTTGATGAGTTGAATTCATTATGCAATTACTTTAACTGCAGTTATTAAGGAAATGGTAACTCAATCTACAATGGTACTAAATTGGGCAATTATATTTGTAAAGAAATGAGTGCCAATATTTTTATTTATTGAAAGGTTTGTAATGAAGAATAAATATTAAATAAAACAGTTTACAAAGATCTTCAATATCCTAACCACATTTGCTAGCTCTGTCACATAAAAGTTCCAAATATTTTGCTAGCTAATAAATGATAATCTCGGTGAAGATTTTATATATATATATATATTATATAATATAATATAAAGAGTTAGTGCCTTTTTTTGTTTCAACTGGTGTGATTAATTTCTAACTGACTTAAGGTCCAATTCTTAATAGGACTGGGTTTGGCATAATGTCTTTTTACTCAGGATAGAATATTATTAAAGACATGTTTTAAAAAGTCATATTCACTTTCTATATAGTATAACACTTTCAGGAGTCTGCACAAGGCAAATTTACTATCGTTTAGCGGTACCATCTGAAATTCAACTTTAAGAAAACAGTAGTTTAACAAAATGCTTTTGATAAAGCAAGTTCTAAGATTCTGCTCTTCGCCTCTTGAAATTTTGTTTTCGTGTGACCTAGTCAAAAATGTTCTCATAATGGAATTCTTAGTGCTAGTAAAATGCATATTATTGTAAAATCCAAGTTGAAATTTAACTATGGACAAAGGTTTTTATGGATTTTTAAATTTTAAGCCCAAAATTTTACAATAGCAAAATTATTTTGGAATATATGAGGAAAAACATAGAATCTTACCAGTCATAAATTATTATTTGTAATGACTATTTTTAAAAATATTTTCTGACTTAAGCATATTTTTGTGTTAATTTTTTAATGTAATTTTTCATTTTTGCAAATTATGTCTAAATTTTCACAAAATAGGTACCTTTCAAAAAAACCTAGATAGACCACCTGACTTTTTAAATTTTCATTTTGTGAAAGGAGTTTAAAAATACAAAATTATCTGATAAATGTGAGGATTTTGTCATTTTTATTTATGATTTGTCTTCTACCATACTAAATAAATTGTATTTTATGTTGTCTTTCTTAATTATGCATTATCCCTTCTATCTAAATAGGTATTAAACATCCAAATTTTTTATTGCATGCTTTTTAAATTTTAACTGAAGCATGATTTTATTACTGTAGGCTTAAAAAAAAAGTTCTGTTGCTATGTTACATATATATATTTGTTAAAGTAACTCATTAATTGTTTTGCCACGGTTCAAATTAGAGGATGTGATGGAGCTCTGAGGAGACTGGAGGGAGATTGACTGAGTTATTACCGAATTTTGCTTTTGCTGACCCTGGGGGAGACTAGACTAGAATCTTGTCCCGACTCTTAAGATCTGATTCTGATACAAGGCCTCATTTCTGACTCAACTATGTCTCTTCTGGTCCAGGGCTTAAGATCTGAGTCTGACTCTACTACTGGGCAGAATAATTTTCCCACTCATGATATTTGGGCTTTTCGGCCAATGATCTAGTTCTCTCTCTGTATTAATGTGGACAACACAGGTAATATAAATTCTTCAGGCTAAACATCGGTATATTTTTTCTTTCCTTTTTTTTTACCCCATGTTTTGGTGACAGGCTTTTATGTACTCCCGTCAGGTTTAATTCTTTTTATTTTGGAACATTAATAAAAATTGTCTGCTGATCCATGAGCAAGAAAAGGATAAGTATCAAACTGTAACAGGTGTATGTTCCCTCTTTTCGAAGTAGCTAACTATTTATCTGATCTTCACTTATTTTAATTAAGTGATAGTGTTGAAGAATTTCATCAGTGTACATGCACTGATTTGTTTTATGAATTTTGGTAGACTGCCATTATTTTAATCTTATAAAGTCTTATTAAGAGCAATTATTTTTTCTTTGATTATGTATATGAATCACTAAAACAACAATAAGCTATACAGAGTTGACAAGAACTAAAATAGCTTCTGATTTTAACATTATTAGTTTATGTTAAAATTCTTAACTGTAAAAGAAATGAAAATGCTGAGGAAAACTAAGAAATGATGGATGACAAAGACCAAAAAGTGCTGAAATTGAAGAAAAAAAAGCTTGAAATGATGTTAAAAAGTAGCTGAATTCTATAGCGTTGGATTTATTTTCGCAAGCAAGATGATAAGTTTAAAGTAGCTCACAAGTGGAGAGAAAGCTCTGATTTGCTGGCTGTGTGAATAAATAGTGGAAGTTGTAGTGAAGCTTGATGGTAAACTATATTATCTTGTGATGTAGATTTACTCTTGTTCATTCACTGAAGACAAATAGCTGTTATCAAAATATTCAGAAGCTCTATGGGGGAAAGTGCTGGTGTTTTATTAAATTTAGTAGTAGATTTTAAGTTATTAAGTTACTATATATATCAAAATCTTTATGTAAAATTCCTTCATTGTTTTGTCGTCAAGTCAACTTTTAAATTGAATCAGCATTATAAACTCTTTCAATTTGCAGGATGCTATAAAATATGAAAATGGCAGAGAACTTCGTGGACAAACTATTGTTGTGGAATGGTGTAGAGGACCGTCCAGCCGTCCACCCATGAGAGGCAGAGTAAGTGTTTATTGTTGAATGTCATGAGAATTCCAGTTAACTCACTTTGAATATTTATCTGCTTTGGCTTATAAAATGAAATTAATAATAATACATAAAAATGGGAAGAGAAAAAGAAAAAAAATATGTCTGATTTGGGAGTCATATACTTATTTACTATTTTTAGTTTAAATCTTGTATCACAGAGAGAAATTTTCGTAAAGTTCTTGTATTGTTCTCTTTATTCAGTTTTTTTAAAATTATTTAATTCAGTTAGCAATTTAATATTCAGACTTTTTAGAATGCTACACACACTCAGAGTTCTCTTTAGAAATGAAAAAGGGCAGGGTACTTACCTCTGTAATAATGTATGACTTAATTTTATCCTCAACAATTTTTAAATTACCTTCTTAAATATGTTTATATTTTTAATATAGTAATTATTTTAAAATTGAAATTATGAGAATATAAACAATTAAAGATGCTTTTTTGTATGAGTTATTTATTTAAAAAGATAATTGTGATCTCTGAAAAATTTATCAGTATACTTTCACCTCCCTCAAAAAAATATTTAAAAAAAAAGCTAATGAAAATTAAACCAGTTGAAAATAATCCTATTGGTTAAAAAATTTCTAATTCATGGTTGCCACTCCACAGGGAATTTAAAAATCGCCTAAATTAGCAGGGAATTAGATTTTTTTTTTCTTCTTTACAAACCTGGAAAATACAGGGAATTTTGTTTCTTATTTTTATCTTCTTAAAAAGTGGTGACCGCTCAAAGCGTATTCTATAACTATTTTGTTTACTATAGCATTATTTAAGCCAGGGCTTAATCCAGGTCGATTTCAGTACCGTTTTTCGGTACCTTCACAAAAAAAAATAATCATTCGGTACCTTAAAAAAAAATAATCAGTACCTTCACAAAATTTAAAAAAAGAAAATCGGTACCTTCACAAAATAAAAAATCAGTATTTCAACAAACTATAGAAAAAAAACGCATCTTCGCGAAAATAAAAAAAAAAGTTCGAAGGAATTAAAGTGCTGAATAGTTTTCCGGGCGGTTATTATAATTTTATCTATGTATTCTGTATTTCTATTATTTTTTCCACCATTAATTCAAAAGTAAAAGTTAGCACAATATCAAAATAATAATTTCTTAATCATAATAAGTTCAATAAATTTTATTAGTAAGTAAGTTAAAAAAAATTTTAAACTTTATGTAAATCTAATTTTTAACCATGATATTAATCTGTATAGTAAATTCCATAATTTATATGCTGGCTGGCTGCATAATTTACATTGAATTAATAAATGGAATTAATCTGCAAGCTGTCTTATAAGCAATTCCTTGCGCAATATGTGACTGTTTTTTATAGTATATTTTGTATACATACTTTTGTATACATACTTTTGTATACTTTTTGTATACATATGTAGTTTTTTTTTTTTTTCAGCAATACTAAATTCTCTCCAAAAAAAATTTTTTTTCACGAAAATAATTTTTTTCTTCACAAAAATAGGTACTAGGATTGAAAACCTGGATTAAGCCCTGTTTAAGCATGCTCAGCTGTTTTTCCAGCAATTAAAACTAATAAATATAGTTAACCCAATACAGCTCACACAAGAGCACAGTGATTGTTGTTTCCTCTTAATGTGTAAAGGGAAAACACATGGAACTTTTTTTTCAGATTTGAGTGGCAACCCTGTAATAGTAATCAGAATTAAAACTATAGACTCTGCTAATTTTACGGGCGTGAATTTTTTTCTTCCTAACGGCTGGCACTGAACCTGTAGGCTCTTTCATTGGGTGGGACATATTCATGGAAGAGAGGACAACCCTCAGAACAAAATTTCCATAATTAGGATGCAAACCGGCAACCATTGGCTTTGCATTCAGACCACTCGTTCACCTGGTGGGTGTAACTATTATCTGAACAGTGAATTAAATTTCTTTAAAATTGAATATGTAATCTAAAAATAATAAGTTCACATAATTTATGTTGAATTGTCGATATATAAATATGCATATTTATGTAAATAAGACATAGCCCATTTAAAAATAACAGGGTTCTTGCTGTCCTAAAATGTCCTAAAAAAGTGCTAAAATTTTCCCCCAACTTTTTTTAGGGCCTAAAAAGTGCTAAAATTTCTTCTGAGTGCTAAAAAAAGTGCTAAATATTTTTTATTTTGGCGTTTTGAAATTTTTTTTGGAGTTATCTGATTACTTAAATCGGTTTCCCTAAATCCTTAAATTCTGTTGCCTTCAGCTCTCCTGCTGCCTCCATCTTTTTAGAAGATTCTTGGGCTTTGGGGAAAGAAGTTCTTTCTTCTGAGATTTTATGGGCTTTAAAAGTTGTAGAAAGCTACTACTCCTACAATTCTTCCAAAGACACTGGAAAATTATTTAGTACAATGTTTCCAGACAGTTCAATAGCACGTCATTTCACCTGCAGTGAATCTAAGTGTGCATATCTCTGTCATTTTGGACTTGCACCTCATTTTAGCATGCTACTTCTGAAGTGCATTGATAATGCCAAGTTTTATACATTGCTTTTTGATGAGTCTTTGAACAAAGCGACACAGCAGAAGCAGTTGGATATACATATCCACTTTTGGAACCCAGATAAGAACATTGTAGAGACGCGATACTTAACATCAGCTTTTCTGGGCCATT